GATTTCAAAAAGTACCTGATGAGAAGAAATGGTTCTTCAAGAGGTACAACCTTCAACAAACTAAGGGCTCATGATAAACAGACCAATGAGGGTTGCTACAAGTGTGGTAAGACTGATCACATAATCAAGAATTGCCCTCAATGGGAAATTGAGTGGAAGAAGGAAAGGGCTGAACGAAGGAATAGGAAGAAGGAACATGTTCAACCAAAAAGGAACAAAGGATCAACAAAGGCTATGGTTGCTGCCTTGGGAGAAACATCAGATGAGGACTCGGAAGATGAAGCTGGAGATGAACAAGCATTTATGCCCATCGGAGAATCAGATGATGAACAAGAGGTAAGTATTCTTCATCTCAAAGACAAGATTAAATTCCTGTCTAAAGAAAGGTTGTATGAGCTACTGCTAGACTTCATTGATGAGTTTGAGATAATTAACAATGAGAAGGAAGAGCTGTCTAGGGAATGTATGATCCTAAAAGCCAAGTGCAAAAATCTAGAGTCTAGGGCTAATGAGAGTGAAAGTGAAAATACTGAGTTGAAGAACCAGGTTCTTGAACTTGACACTAGTGTCCTAGAACTTAGGTCTGAGAACTTAAAACTAAAACTAGGAACAGGAAAGAAGAAAGCTGATCACACACATCTCACCCTAGAAGAAAACTTAGGAAAAATGAAGGATGAGTTGTACAGGAAAGATGAGCAAATAAGAGTATTAAAAGAAGATCTAGGGAAGGTAAAACATGAACTAGACAAAACTTGCAAATGGAACAAGACTTCTGATGCACTCTCCTGGCTACAAGAACATCACAGTAGCAACAAAAGAGGACTTGGATATGGGATTCAAGCACCTAAGTGGGATCCTAAAAGCAAGTACCTCACTCTTCTTGAGAACAAAATTTGCACATATTGTGGCAAGACTGGCCATTACAAAAATGAATGTAATGCAAAAGAAAGGGTCGTCAAAAGAACAAAACTTTTGTTCAAGAAAAAATTGGCTGCCTGGGTGGGCTAGAAGGAATCTAATTTATCCCTTTGCCCACAGAAAGGGACCCAAACTAGTTTGGGTTCCTAAGACTAACCCCTGATTTCTTTTTGCAGGTCCAAGTGAAAGAAAGCAGCCAAATATGGTACATGGATAGTGGCGGCTCAAAACATATGATTGGAAGCAAGAACCAGTTACTTTCACTTGAGGACTTAAGGGGAGGCAATGTCTCCTTTGGAAATGGGAAGAAAGGTGAGATCATTGGGGTTGGAAAGGTAGGTAAGACAGACTCCCACTCCATTGAGAATGTCTACTTGATAGATGGCTTGAAATACAGCCTGATCAGTGTGTCACAACTATGTGACAGAGATAACCTTGTAGCATTCACCTCTACTAAATGTTTTGTGATTAACCTTACCACTGACAAGATTGTTTTGTCGGGAAAAAGAATGAACAACATTACATTGTAGATTTGTCTACTCTCTCAAAATATGAACTAACTTGCCTAAGTGTTGGATAATGATCCCCTCCTGTGGCACAAAAGACTTNAAAAAGAGTTAACAATATTTACATTGTAGATTTGTCTACTCTCTCAGAAAATGAACTAACCTGCCTAAGTGTGCTGGATAATGATCCCCTCCTGTGGCACAAAAGACTTGGTCATGCCAGTCTGAATCAGCTAAACAAATTGGTTTCTAAGGACTTGGTGATAGGGTTACCCAACATCAAGTTCAAAGAAGACAAAGTTTGTGAGGCATGTGCAAGGGGGAAGCAGGTAAGATCATCTTTCAAAAGCAAGAAAATGGTAAGCACAGCAAAGTCGTTGGAACTGGTCCATATAGATCTCTGTGGTCCAATGAGAACCGTGAGCAGAGGAGGAAAGAAATATGTAATGGTACTTATTGATGATTATTCTAGATTTACCTGGGTACTATTTCTAACATCTAAAGATGAAGCATTTGACATGTTCACTATCTTTGTTAGAAAAACTCAGAAACATTTAGGAAATCAACTTGCATCAATTAGGTCTGATCATGGAAATGAATTTGGAAATGCTAAGTTTGCTGAATTTTGTGATGAAAATGGTATAGTTCATAACTTCTCTGCCCCTAGGACCCCTCAACAAAATGGAGTAGTTGAAAGAAAGAACAGGACTCTTGAAGATATGGCTAGGGCTATGCTCCTTTCTAGTAAACTGCCCCATAGCTTCGGGGCAAAGGCTGTAAACACTGCATGTTACATTATCAATAGATGCATGACTAAACCTCTTGTAGAGAAGACTCCCTACGAGTTACTTAAAGGGAGAAAACCAAATATATCCCATCTTAGGGCATTTGGATGCAAGTGCTTTATGCACAATAATGGAAAATACTCCCTAGGTAAGTTTGATCCCAGAAGTGATGAGGGAGTATTTTTGGGATATTCTTCACATAGAAAAGCATATAAAGTGTTCAATAAAAGAACTTTGTCTGTACAAGAAAGTGTACATGTAGTATTTGATAAAACTAACATTCTTTCTCAGAGACATGAACATGAAGATGAAGCCATTGGATTGGTAAAGGATTTAACTGAAGCCTCAGCACAATTTAAAGTGGCACCAAAAGAAGGAACATGTGATGGAACAGGTTCTTCCATCCAGGGCAACCTGATAGGGGGAACTAATCAAAGAGGAATTGAAATAAATCCCCTAAAAGAACTTGTTCATGACCCTGTTCCTCAGCAACAGAACATGGGAGAAACATCTAGCAGAAACCAGTTGGTTGTAAAACCTCACCAGTATCAAAGTTCTCATCCTATTGAGAACATTATCACTGATCCAACATCTGGAGTCAAAACTAGATCACAATTAAAGAATTTGTTGCTTTTGATGCCTTTTTATCTCTTATTGAACCTAAAAATGTTGTTGAGGCTTTGCAGGATGCAGATTGGGTAAATACAATGCAAGATGAACTCAATAAGTTTGAGAGAAGTCAAGTTTGACATCTAGTTCCACGACCTAAGGACAGATCAGTTATTGGTACAAAATGGGTCTTCAGAAACAAACTTGATGAAGATGGAACAGTTACAAGAAACAAGGCAAGACTGGTGGTCCCAGGTTACAATCAAGAGGAAGGCATAGATTATGATGAGACTTTGCTCCAGTTGCAAGACTAGAGGCAATCAAACTCCTCATAGACTTTGCAGCACACATGGAATTCACTCTTCATCAAATGGATGTCAAAAGTGCCTTCCTGAATGGCTACCTGAAAGAAGAATTGTTTGTAAAACAACCTCCAGGGTTTGAGAGCAAAGAATGTCCTGAGCATGTGTACAAGTTAGGCAAGGCTCTCTATGGACTCAAGCAGGCCCCAAGAGCATGGTATGAATGACTGTCCAAATTCCTACTGGAGCATTGTTACAAAAGAGGTAAAATTGACAGTACCTTGGGAAAAAGGTAAGGATCTCCTTATGGTACAAATATATGTTGATGACATAATCTTTGGGGCCACCACTGATAAGCTAAGTAAGGACTTTGCGAAATTAATGGGGAGTGAGTTTGAAATGAGTATGATAGGTGAGCTTAACTTCTTCTTAGGCGTGCAGATCAAACAAAGTCCTAATGGAACCATGATCTATCAACAGAAGTATGCAAAAGAGTTTATCAAAAAGTTTAGAATGGAAGAATCAAAAGAAATAAACACACCCATTGCAACTGCCACTAAATTAGACATTGATGAACCAGGTTCATCAGTTGATCAAAAGTTGTATAGGGGTATGATTGGTTCACTCTTGTATCTTACTGTCAGTAGGCCTGACATTGTTTTCAGTGTAGGGCTTTGTGCTCGTTTTCAGGCAAATCCAAAAGAGTCTCACTTGACTGTTATCAAGAGGATACTAAGATATCTGAAAGGCACCACTGATTTGTGTCTTTGGTACCCCAAAGGTAGTAATTTCAATCTAGTAGGATATGCTAATGCTGATTATGCAGGTTTCCTAGTGGATAGGAAGAGCACCTCAGGTATGACACACTTCCTTGGTTCATGTCTAGTGTCATGGGCTACTAAAAGCAAAATTTAGTGGCCTTATCTATTGTTGAAGCTGAGTATGTTGTTGCTGCCTCTTGTTGTGCTCAATTGCTATGGATCAAACAGCAACTAGTAGACTTTGGCATTGAAGTTGGTTGCATTCCTATATTCTGTGATGGCACTAGTGCTATAAGTATGACAAAGAACTATGTTCATCATAAGAGGACTGAGCACATAGATGTTAGGCACCATTTCTTAAGAGACAACTATGAGAAAGGTTTGATCTCCATAGAATTCTATGCTACTGATAAGCAAATTACTGACATCTTCACTAAAGCACTGAGTAGAGAAAACTTTGAGAGGAATAGGTTGGAATTAGGGATGATTAAGATCACCTAATAGATCCAGCTCAGAATGCACAAAAAAATGAAAAATATTTGGCTAGGAATTCTAACCTTGTGTAAATATCTAGATTAATTCTTACTCAGTTTCATACTTTAATTAGTATACTCTTGTGACATGTGTATATATGACTCACTGATCTCTTACAACATTTTCTCTATTATGGCATTTGAAGCATGTTCAAGAGAGTTCTATACGTAGAACCTGGTTCATCAGTATGGGTTCATATGAAAGCTCAGGTATGTTTTCTATACTCTGCACAATTAGAAAGATTAACAATTCAATCATGAGCAGAAGTCCTATACTTGTCAAATTCCTAGAAAATTCTATCCGTTGAGCATTGAACCAGCTCCGTCCATCTAGAACTCTAAACAGCGATTTTTGCCTAATATCTAGGGAAGCCAAATCTATCATTAAAATTCTGGAATTTCAGTTTGATTAGACTTCTATTTGACCCCTGAAAAAGATGTCGTTACTTATTTAATGTCTAATTCGCTTTAAATACACACCACATCTCCAATCTTCTTCATAATTCTAAAACCGTCAAAAATTCCTCTTCAATTCTAATTGCCCTCTTCTCCAAAATTTCCAAATTCTCTCAAGAAACGAAGAATCATGTCTAACCCACAAGATCATCCTATCACTCCTCCACCACCATTTTCCTCAAATTCATCCTCATCTACTCCACCTAGTGTATCTCCAAAACCTAGGTTTCGAAGGCAGAAAATGCTTGCTCGAAAAACTGTAGCATCTGGGGATCTGAGGAAGGTTTTAAATGAAAGGTTGAAAGCTAGCCAAGTGAAAGAAAGCCCAGCTCTAAAGTCTCATTCTAGCTTTGAGTCTGAATACTTTCAATCCGCGACTGAGAGAGATAGAGATGGGTCTTCTGACTCTGAAAAGACTCAAGAATCTCCTTCTGAGGTAAGTTCTTCTGTAGTTGAAAACTTAGAAACTAGATTTGTTCTGGTTGGACCCATTAGGGATGTTGAGTTGCCTGAAATGAGTAGGAGTGGAGGTAAAAAGAAGTCTGAAAAAGAAAAAGAAAGAGAGGGTGCATGTGGTGAAGAGAGGGAAAAATGGAAGGGAGCAGTTCTTACTATATGTGGGGTTACACAAGATATGTTAGATGAGAGTGGCATGAAGTCAAGGGGAAGTGGTTCTGGGGAAGCAGCTGAGGGGCTGGTTCATCTAAGCAAACAAAGAGATGAACCTATTTCATCTACTGAAGAAACCTAGGCTAATTTACTGAAAAAGGTTGGGGCAAGTTATGACCCAAAGAAACGCAAAGCTACTACACCAAAAGCCCCAAATGTTCCCAAGCCATCCAAGAAAAGAAAAGCCTCATCCCCAACACCTACTGCCTCTTCAATGCCTAGGGGTAGAGCCACAAGAAGAAGGGTAAAACAGAGTGAAACTGATCTACAAAAGGCTTTAGAAGAAAGCAAGAAAAGGAAAAAGGATAAGGGAAAGGAAAAGGTTGGAGAATCCTCAGAGGCTGTTGAGGAAGAAGAGATGGAATTGGTCCATCAAGAAAGGGGTACAATAGTGGAGGTTTGTACACCCAAGCCTAAGAAACCCAAGACTTCCTCCAAGAAGTCCTCCTCTGTGCCTGTAGCTGCTGAACCCACACTAGCCAAGAGGACAAGATCTGCAGTGAAAGCTAAACAAACCAAAGTTTCTGATGATGATGATTAGAGTGAAGAAGAAGAAGAAGAAGAAGAAGAAGAAGATGAATCTGAGAAGGAACACGATAAGCTTTCTATTTTTGGCAGAAGAAAAATGTTAAAAAGTAGATTGTTGAAGGACCTGGTGGAACCCGGGATGATGAGATTGGTAGACTCTTTGGCTGCTCAGGGATGGAAGGACATGGTCCTTCATATGGAAGGTAGGCTAGCAAGAAATGAGTTGATTGAATTTATGGCAAATGTTGTTGTTAAGGCTGGAGTTGTCAGTAGCCAGGTGAAGGGAGTGCAAGTGCAGTTTGATGCTGTGAAACTAGGAGAGATTCTGGACATACCCTCTGAAGGGTTTGATGACTATACTAGGCAAAGGTGGTCATGCTTGAACTCCCTCCCCACTGCCCTTGAAATCACCAAAAGGTTCTGTGATTCAGAGAATGTGAATGAAGCCAGAGCTGTGCAGAAAAGTGAGATGATGCCTCAGCACAAGGTGGTGTTTGAGTTTGTCAACAAGTGCTTATTGCCAAGACAGGAGAGAAGGCACACTGCCAACTACATGGATCTAGTTCTTATGGAATGCCTGGAGAGAGGAAAGCAAATCAACTGGCCTGCCCTCATAGTTAAACTGCTAGACAGGGTCATAAATGGTTCCAAGGCTCATGCTACCCCATATGGCTTCATACTAACCATAGTTCTGGATAGGCTCAATGTGCCTCTGAAGAAATGGGAAATGGCCTCAAGAAAAGAAAACTTTGGCATCAAAACTCTTCTTGCTTGTGACATCCAGTCAATGTCATCCCAGTTGAACCCGGTTCATCCTTGAGGACACCCATCAACATCAAGGTTAGGACTTTAGTTCAGGAATGTGCAGCTAAGGATGCTGAAATTGCTAGGCTCAAGGCTCGTGTGGTTGAAGTGGAAGCTGAGAGGGATGGTCTCAGAATTGAGCCTGCAAAACAAAAGGAGAAGAATGATGGAATTCTTCAGAACATGCTGAGTCTTCTCCAAACTCAACCCTCTAGTTCCTCCAAGCCTTAGGACTCCTAGTTTCTGTCTCCTGAACTAGTTCTAGTACCCCCCAGTGACCCAGATTAGGGATTTTTCTATTTTTTTGCTCATGGTTTGGATGTTTTTCTTTTTATTTTTGTGGATTGCTAGTGGCAACATATCTCTCTCAATGACAACTGCTGTTTTCTCTTGTTTAATGATTATTCTGACCTTGATAGTTTAAATATGTTTGTTTGATTACGGATGATTGCACCATGATTGCACTTGCAGTTGCCCCAGTGGCCATGAGTACTTATTAAAATCTGAAATTCACACTGTGTATGCAACTTTTCGATAATGCCAAAAGGGGGAAGAGATATTGTGCTTTACACATTATTCTGAAATAAGTGATATTTATAACCTAATTAACCTAGTCCTTGATGAAAAGAAAATTTTCTAAGTTTAGTGTTGAGAGTTAAGCTGAGTTCTTATAGGTTTTTTGATCAGTAAAAAGCACAAAGTTTGTCATCATCAAAAAGGGGAAATTTGTTGGCCCAAGAATAAGTGAAGTTTTGAAGAATGACAAATGAACTCAGTCATGGACCAGGTCCATCTTGTGAAGCACTGTCATGATCAACCTACATATGTGAGATGCACATGAAGGAGATAAGTCCTACTGATCAAGCAGCAATATCTCCTGATCTGATAGAAAAGGTTGCATATTGGATAAGGGGAGAAAGTTTCCTTATATGAAGAAAACACAATCCAGATAAAGAGAGTGTTAGAGTTTGATATCTTCAAGGACTCAACAACAATAGAAGATCAGAAATTGAGTCTCAGTCAATTTCTGATTTCTAACCTATTAAATGACAGTGATTGTTCTCTTTTACAAGTATTGCACAAACACAGATGTTAAACTAAATTGAAAGCAAAAGAGCAAGGCGATTTTGCAAGCAATTTATGTGAGATTTGAGTGTGCACTCCTGAAGCTACTTGAACGAGATAGAAGAACCAATTTCATTGTGTTTTTTTCTTATTCTAGTTCAATTGTAGTAGGTGGTTTAAAGTTGTACCTTTCAGCTTTCATAGAAGCAATTGTATTAGGTACTTTGAGTGTTCAAGTTATAAGCTGACTTGAAGTTGTCGTAACAGTTGAAGTTGTGTGCTACAAGGGATTAGAGTTAATCCTTAGGTTTACAAAGAGTTTTTGTAAATGTTGTTTTGGCTCAGTGATTTTAGTGGAAGTTTGGGAAATCCCTACTGAGTAGTAGGTCGTGATTTTTTCACCTTTTGAGCCGGGTATTTTCCACGTAAAAATCTCTGTGTTCTTTATTTTATGTACTTTTTATTTCGCAAACAGTAGTAGTTAGAACACCTAGAAGAACCAGGTTCTTCTAGAGCGAAAATTGGGTACCACACAAATCATCCCCTCCTCTTGTGTCGTATTGACGTTTAGAACACCAAAGGTGTTGGTGCACTCCACTTGCTCCAGAGTTGCCTATTTGGTCATTATGATTTGGATATGTATTGATTGGTATTGCGGGGCCCTGTCCCGACCTTTATGACGTTTATGTACTCTTAGAGGCTTGTAGACAGATGTCATATGTATAGATACTTGTATGGCCTTGTCGGCTTATGTTTTGAGTGTACAAATGATCATGTCGTCCTTATAGGCCTGTATGTCACATGTATAAGTTTCTATATCATTGTCCTATGTCTAGTATTCTCTTATGTTTTATTTTGGTTATCTCATAACGGTCCTTCTGGACCATTTAACCATGATGGTGTGGTAAGAAAGACACGTCATGTTGGTACTCAGTTGAATAAGGCACTGGAGGCCCGTCGCGGCCCTCCGGTTTGGATCATAACAGAAAAAATTTGTGCTTAGTTATTTTTAACTTATTATATAAAAATATAATATTTTTTTATATATAAATTTATTCAAAATGATTTGATATTTTTTCGATTTATTTTTTTTAAATATAAAATATGTCTTAATTATTTTATGTAATTATAAATTTATATAAAAATTTACGATTTTAATAAAAAAAACTACTTAATAATCGGTTCAGCATAATTGAGTTTGATCAGTTTTTAAAAATCTATTGGCACCCGTTATTATGTACAAAATCCTTTTGTGGTGAGCTCTCTAGATATTTCCGCTTTGATTCCACACATTCCCAATGAAACCCTTTATTCTGGATTGAGCTTGTGCTGGCCAAATTGTGACCTTTTGCACTTTTTCATTTTTTTAATGCGGTCCCATAAGAATCCATGAGAAGATATTTTACAAATTAAACTTATCCCAATTCTCCTTCTAAGAGCGTGGCCAAAAATCCTTCACTCTTTTCTCACTCCTGTCTTGTTCGCCCCGTGTGTCTTATTCATCTCTGTTTTGACTCCAAACAATATCTAAAGGTCTGCACTTTTCCCTGACCTCTATATAAAGGACAAAAACTTGTAGAAAAATATCAAACACTTTTGCATCTACACATTTTCATATCAGAATCTTCATTAGTTCTTGAAATTTAAGCATGGCAGACACCTCTAATAACCTCAACCGCCACCATCAAACCTTGGCCAAATCCCACTCCAGCCGTAAGACAAATAGTCATCGCGTCCGTAGTAGGGCCGATAGCTCTGCCGTGGAAACCTTCACCGAAGAGCGCGGTTACGATGACTTCAATATGGAGGAAGGTGACTCCGAGATGTGGAACTCTTTTTCCAGCAATTATAGAGAAGTGCAGTCGGTGTTGGATCGAAACAGATTGTTGATTCAACAAGTTAACGAGAATCATCAGTCGAGAACGCACGATAGTATGGTGCAGAACGTGGGCCTAATTCAGGAGCTGAACGGAAATATATCAAAGGTTGCTTCTCTCTATTCTGATTTCAATACCGACTTCGCAACCATTGTCTATCAGCGGAAGAATGGCGTTTGAGAAAAGACCAATAACAAGCATAGCCGCTACAGAGGCTTTTTTAAGTTTCTATATTTAATCTATTTGCAATGGCATATTAACTTTCTTCTCTCCAGCAAATTGGATTAAAAATTCTGTGTTGAAATATTTTTTTGGAAATAACCATCCCACAAATACTTTGGACCTCTTTCTTTTTTTTGTCAGTTTCAAAAAGAATAATTTCTTTTTAAATTTGAAAATAATTTAGCTTAAACTTTCAATTCTATCTTTAATAAGAACTTTTTATAATCATACAAATACTCTGGATCTCTTCTTGACTTATTTAGGACCACATATTCTAAAAGTTTTATTTTTTTAAATTTTGTGTTCAATCAAACAGGTTCACCTAAATTGGAACGGGGGAAGTATTACTTATTTTCTACTTTATTTCGGGTGACATGCTTTACTGAACGTAAAGTTTTAAAATACTAATCACATGTTTCACATACGTAAAGTGCCAAAACTACTTTATTACTGTTGTCTCTGTTTTAATTGAAGTGAATATACTTCTTGTTTAGTCCGTTTAAAAAAATAATCCCTTTTTAAATCTGAAAATACTTTAACTTAATTTTTTTTTTTTTTTAATGAGAAGCTTTATAGTTCCCACAATTTTTATGGCATATTTAAGTGAGTTTTAAATTTCTTTTTACCTTTTAAAATTTCATGTCCAATTAAAAATATTCACGTAAATTAAAACGAAGGAGCAACAATTGAGTGAGAAATATCAAAGAATTCCACATGTTCTTCGTATTACCTTTTTTAAATTTACATCCCTCGGTTATATTGTATTGTTAAATCCATTGTTTCGAAACAATGAAAAGTTTCGTTTTTTTGAAACAATCGATTTGATGTGGTGGGATTATTTCCTATTTTTCTTTTCAATTATGCCCTAACTTATTACTCCACAATTCTATTTTACCCTTTATCTTTTTTTTTATTTTACCTCCAAATCTCCAATCTATAATCTACTTTGTTTTTTTTTTCCAGACCAATGCTAAAGATGTTTGCCGCTTTCTGTTTTATTGTTTCTCCTAATTTGCTTTTAACTCAATTCTAATTAGTTGTGCTCCTTTGTTTTGCCTTCTTCTGTCTCGCTCCTTTGTTCGGCTTTCTTAAGGTGTTTTGCCTTCTTCTGTTTTGTTTTTCCAAATTATTTTTATACATAATTTTGATAAATTTAATATTTAAACAATTGAGGGTATTTTAGTAAACTTATCGGTTACAGTACAGTACGATACAGCCAAACCAAACAATAAAATATTATTTAACAATAACAACAATACAATCTATCCAAACATTATATTCATAAAACGATACGGTACAATACGATACAATACAATACAATACATTATAAAACGACGGGGAACAATGATCCAAACAAAGTGTTAGACTGGTTAATAATGATGGACTAATATTTCGAACCAACCGCTGATACGTTTCTCATTACCACGAAGTTGTCTTATCGTAGAGATGGACGGTCGGAGGATTGTCTCTATGAGGGTGAGAGAGAGGGCGAAGAGGATGGTGGTGTAGGCAATTAAAATTTTATTGAATTAAAATTCATAAGAAATTTGGATTTAATCTCAAATTAAATATATTTTGAATTCATATAAATATTATGGGCTAATATAATTGGATTAATTAATTAAATTCAATGAATATTGACTGGGCTAGTACATTTAGCTGGGCTACAAATGATGAGCCCACTTCATTAGGTCCTTCCTAGAGGCCTTGCTTGGTGTCACGTGTCAAATGACGTGGAACGGCAAGTCAAATGGAAGAGCCAATAGTTGATTGTCCAACCAACTATGAAATCGCGCCACTTGTGCAAGTGACATATTTTGGCCAATCAACTATGGCCTTTTCACTCTGCAATCTGATTGGTCGGAAGGAGTTTGTTCTCATCACAACTCTTCCCTCCTACAATTATAAATAGGGGTCTTCACAACTTAGAAAAGACACCAGAAGTTATAATAAGAATCAAGAGAGAGCTCGTGGATCAAACGCTGCATATTTCTCTAAAATCTACAAGAATTCAAGTGTTCTAAGGATTAAAAGATCAAGACGAAGATTAAAGAATAAGTTGCAAGCCCTTGGATTAAAAATACGTCAAGATCAAGATCAGACCTCAAGCACTTGGATTAAAATAAAATAAAATCCAAGATTAAAATCGAAGAATATTTTATTTACTACTGGAAAGAAGAATCAGAAGATTTATAGAGATTGTAACACTCATATTATTTGAAATAAAATAATACGATTGTTGCAATACTTTTTCGATCTCTAATATTTTCTTGACGCATATTTATTGTTTACAAATTTTGGCACGTCCAGTGGGACAATCTCTACCTCTCATCTCAACTTTTTAATCACCAAAGCTCAAAAATATCGAAATGGCTTCAAAGAAAATCAACTCCAGATCAACTTCCATCAAGACTTCTAATTCCATGTTTTATACTGATGCAGAAAGCATTCTCGATATTACCTTTGGAAGCTTTGGACCAGTTACTAGAAGCAAAGCAAACTCTTTAGGACAACAAACACTCCATGTGTCATCAACATCAACCCTTATTTTCGGATCTTCATCCTCAAAAGGAGCAAGATCCTCTACAAGTGCGACCCAAAAAGAGAACGATGTTGCCGAAAGGATCAAAGAGGTTCTTGCTCAACTTAGTTTATCTAAGTCCAAGAAATTTTTCAAGCAAGCCGATGATGATGACTTGAGCTTTGGGTCTCCTCTAGTCTCCATTAATGCGACCTCTAAGCTCTATCCCAACAATGATCCATATTATTGTCCTCTACGGCGAACATGCAAGTAATGGTTATTGAAGCTTCTATTGTAGAAGAACAACTTGTAAATTTGACGAAAGTAATTGAAAGCTTATCAAAGCGTGTGCAAGATCAAGATGCTAAACTTTTCATGTTAACAAATACATTGGATAACATAGTAGAGGGAGAATCCACACAAAATCCTTTAAATCTTCAAAGATCACAAGAGAAAGAAGACTCCTCTGAAAAGCAAGCAGCCAAAGAAATCCAAGTCTCTGCTAAAGGTCTGATTCCCGTTGAGAAATTAAAGGACTTCATCATAAAGGTTATCAAAGATAATCATGAGTCATCATCCAAAATATATCTCCCATATTCAAAGTCGTATACACAAAGAATTGATAACTTGAAGATGCATGTTGGTTATCAACCTCCTAAGTTGTATACGGGTGAAATCAAGAAGCCCGATTTCAGTATCATTATGTCTTTTCCTTAGCTTCGCCTCAAAAAGGCCTCGAAGGCCCGGGGGTGCAGTTCGATGTTTCAACCTCGAGGGTTCTTCATACCCAACCTCAGTTCAACGCGAGCCGATGGTTATCATAGATAAATGGGAAGTTTCCTAGGCACGTGGTCCGAACTGACGACACCTACAAGAAGAGTACCAATCTGTACCAGACTGCTAAATAGTTGTACCAGCTACTTTATTTTGTAATAAATACACATGTATTATGTTTGGGTTCCCTCCTCTTATATAAAGGGGACCTTTACTATTTTTGCACACACGATGAGATACATTATTCACAACATTTAATACAAGAATATTCTATTCCCTCTAACTTAAACATATTCTCTTGGTTTCATTACTTACATTCATTGCTTATATTTATTGGGTTCTATCTATTGTTCTTCATTTATTGTTTGATATTGGTCATAAAGAGCCTTTATCAAAGCTCTCAAACTGTTAGTCCTTCATCGGCAATCCATAGCTTAATATCGAGCTCGACCTCGAGACCTCGTATACCCAAGCTCGAGACCCCGATTCTCAGCCGCTTGGTTTGCCTAAACGCACTATTTTCAAACTCTTATCTTATTTTCTAGTCTCATACTTAGCATCTACTGCCTAACAACTAGCATAAAAATAGATCACGTATTTTTAGAACCATAAAATTAAATTTAATTATAATTACCATTTTCAAGGTAAACAGTTTGGCGCCCACCGTGGGGCTAAAAATAATAGTGATTGTTTTCTTGTTGGTTTACTACATAACACAAGTTGTCTTTCATACTTTTTCTTGCCCAAGGATCTTTGATTTCAGGTTAAAATGTCTAACCCAGTGAGCGCAGATGAAAACAACGGTCTTGAGGACCGTGAAGAGAACGATGTAGTTGTTCCAGGTACTGGTGTACCACTACCAAACTCCGAGAGTACACCAGAGCCGATCCCCGGGGGTACTGTCTCACACAACACCCAACACAATGATGCCAGCACCCATATTAACGGGAATACACACCAAGAAGTCAACAGGAAAATCGGGAAAATCCCACAAGGGAAGAAAGAAGGACGGATAGGGGAAGCAGAGCGGGAAAACCTCAGTCTGTTATTCATATGATCATTGGGGGGGCCTACATTCCCTAAGGACCCGTGATCAAACGGGTGAAAGTGTCCGCTGCAACGGAAGGGTTATTTCGGGGCCGCACGCCCGAAGACATCCTTGCGTTCAGCGAGGAAGATTTTGAGACCTTGACTCAACCACATAACAATGTGCTGGTAATTTCATTTCTCTTGAATAACGTTCAAATTAAACATGTACTGGTGGATCCAAGTAGCTCGGCCAACGTGATCAGGTCAAAGGTGGTAGAACAACTCGGTCTGCTCGATCAGATCGTGCCTACCTCTTGAGTCCTCAACGGTTTCAACATGGCTGGCGAAGCTACGAAGGGGGAGATCACCCTCCTGGTCAACGTGTCCGAAGAAGTTCAGGACGCCAAATTCCATGTCATCGATGGTGACATGAGGTGCAACGCATTGCTTGGGAGGTCGTGGATACACAACATGAGGGTAGTACCGTCAACTCTGCATCAGATGATGAAGTTTCCAACAAAGGACGATATAAAAACAGTATATGGAGAACAACATGCGGTGAAAGAAATGTCCGCGGTCCACAGGGAAACGTCAGATTCTATACACTCTACCTCGAAAGAGCCGGGAGACAAACATACCCCCGAAGATGAAGAAAAAAATTTCCTCGCTCCCCGAACTTTTGTTGCCCCCGAAGAGTCGGACGCAACAAATTTGACTATTGAAGAACTAGATCAAGCTGTTCTGATCGAACATCTTCCAGATCGGATGGTATACCTGGGAACGGGGCTAACCTCCG